TTTCTATTCATAATATTATCAATAATGAATGGAATTAATTCTATTGTGAAATGTCTATGCAATTCATATATATCCGTGCAAAAAGTTAATGCGAACTTTTCATTTCACGAGTTAAATTTCAATTAATGCACATATCCTGTTTTATACCTAATACTTACGAATTTGTATAATTCATTTAGACTGTTTCTCTACATTTGATTAAGTACATGACGATCACATAGGAGATGCATTTTCTCGGTCTTGTACAGCATTGACACGACAATGTATCTGAGATATCTGTTAGTTTCTTATTGTTCCATATATGCCGCTTCAAATATATTCATTGCTTCTTCATTATATATGTTGCAAATAAATAGCAAACGTGATGTGCCTTGCATTCTATTCACGTTCATAGAAAATGAAAATGATGGAGTTTAACATTTCCACGCAAATCATATTAGATTATTCGATTTAGTTATTTACTAGAATTTAAACGCGTACGTGCGCACGAGAAATAGAAGGAGATGAATATGACACGGTAAATTATAACGTATAGCCATTGATTAATTAATACTATTTGTACATATTTTATATAATTATTTTGTCACTATTCGAGATTAAAAAAAAAAGAAAAAAGTCCATGTTAAAAAATACGTTTGTTCTCTAAATTTAAATTAACTGAAAATAATTATAGATAACGTAAATATTTATTTATACATTATTTAACATATTATGTATTTGTTATTTGAAGAAACGAACAAAGAATAAAAACGATAACACTAATATAAATATATTGTATTAGGTGTTGGAATTAATTCGTAGCGTTTTTAATGAAAGAATGTTATTTATTTCACATGAGCATTAAAAAATACATTAATGAAAGTACTTCCCATCACTTGTAAAACGCTACGAATTAATTCCAACACCTAATATAAAAAAATAATATTGAGAAGAAAATAAAAGAACTTTTAAGTGAAAATTTTATGACAGAAATTTGAAGCAAGAAACTTCTGCCCCATTGTAACAGACATTTCATTTTCTACAAGCAGCTTCTGTTAACTTCAATGAAGTTTGAACAGCCGTTTTAGACAATGACTACTACAGCTTATTGACCAAAAGCGATCCCGGATGAATCGTCTAAATAAAAGATCAATCTTGCGGAATAAATAAAAGAATACTACAATGTTTTCGCTCTTGCACGCTTATCTCTTGTAAAAATACCAATCGATTCTTGTTTATGAGAAATAAGGATGCATTTCCACTGAGCATGTCAATCAAAACATCTAATTTTATTGTTTCATTTGCCGCGCGACAATAAAATAGGATGCTTTGATTGATTAAATCATGACGCGGATGATGCAAGACTTGCTCAGTGGAAACGCACCCTAAGTCGAGGAACGATGTCTGTGAAATGATGAAGTTTATTGCAAAATGTAATCTAAAGAGAACTGTTTTTTTTTTTTACTGTTATTTACTTTTTCTTTATGATTACTATTGTTTCTAAAGGAAGATATCGAAGATAATATTGTGAAGTAATAAGATAATGTTATTTGAATATTATTATGATCATAAATTTAAGAGACAATTTATTTTATCAATGAAGTTAAAAAAATTTGTCAAATCATGCCACGTATCCGATAGAAAGCGGATTACTTACAGTAATTAGCATTCCTTCTCGCTATTCAATTTGATAGTAGCAGATATCACACATCCAACTGTGTTAACAACTAAAACTGATATGGACGTTCTACAATAAATTGGTAGTCGATAATCGGAAGTCTTGACCAGTCTTAACTTTAGTTGTACAAGTTGGCTATTAGTCAACTTCATCAATTAAGACTTAGAATTACTTAGAACTTCGAACTACTGACTCTATGGAACCCCGGACAGGATGGATAGGTGGATTTACAACAGTTACTTTTCAATTACATACCCTGCATATTTGTATATGTTGGATTGAATGAAATGATGCAAAATGCATTAAAACGATTTGTACTGTTTATCATGAAAATCCAGAGCTTTTCCAACGAATTTGTATTTTTACATTCATGATAATGTCACCTTTCACGACCAGCGCATTTCTATCCTATAAATACAATTTACACGCAAATATTCTTTGCATTCAACTATAAAGTGCCTTCCAAACATAGAACTGTTTTTCTCCGTAAAATACTTGAAAATATATTATACTATGTATAATATATTTTAGAATATCGTTAATAATATATCGTTAATAATTTCGACGTATATATTTTTTGTTGTAAAATATACTATTCAATTATTATGTTATTTTAGAGAAAATAGAATCACTTGATATTTGAGAAAATTGACAACGCGAGGCGAGCAAGAGAGGATAAAGATTTAGAGAAAGAGAAGATAGAGATCATTATTTGCATAATAGAAAGAAATGATATATTGAGCAAGGAATCATTCTAGAAACTTCCGGTTCGTGAAGCTGAAATATCGATTTTACTCATTCGTACTTCCATTATTGTGAAACAACTGCAGGATTAAAAACTGCAAAGCTTGTGAAGAATCGATTATTTACGAACGTTCGTGTTTTCAGGGTAATCTAGATAATCGAACTTTCTCACGAATTTGCTACTTCTGTTCGATTTTACATTTTTGGATTGTTCTTATCGGTAAATTTTTTTCATGAATCTTCATAGTGTAGAACGCTGATAGCACCGGCTATGAGATTGTCGAGCAAATCGAACATATCTAACGGTACTGATACAAAGCTTGAATATGCATAGACCGTTCTCCAATATACATTCCCTTGAAATATTACCGGTGAAAACACATGTTGCTCGTTCGATGCTCACGGCGGCTTAATAAATCACGACATCAAATGCATTGTAGCCCCGAACATCTATGTATTTGAATAATTCTTCTTAAAAGAATTATATTAGAAATAGAGGCAACTTAAGCATATTTAATATATACAGCAAATCTTTAATTCATAAAAAATTTCCATATAATAAAAAAAATTCTTATTATTTCTATTATATTCTATTATATACAAAATATAAATCAGAAAATATGTTGACTAACAGAATTATAAAGACGAATTCAAACTTTTCGCGAAAAGACAATTTTCTATTTTTATTCAATACATGTAAAATATGTGTAAAATTAAAATTATTTTATTTTAATATACGTAATTTATATATGTAATTTAATATACTTACTATTTAATTTGCAAGCTAATATTTGTAAAATAAGCTGCAAAATATCTAATTAAAATAATTATATTAGGCTTATATTCAATTGGAATGCGCAAATGTGTGGAATATATTTAATTAAAAAAGCACGTGTCGTTCTAAAGAATCTCAAATCCTGATTTAAAATCTGATAATAAACGTACAGTGTCATATACATCACGCTTCGTGAGAAATCAATAATGAATAGGTAAATTTCGCGTGTCATGCATATAAATGCAGACAATACAAGCTCCCTCCGAAAAAGTGCAATAACATTCAGTAGTCCACTGATGTAATTCGATTGCATTTTAATAGCGATACACGTGCGTAATAATCATGCAGTGCACGGGCGTGAAAGAAATATGCACTTGAGGAAAAAAAAAACAAAATCTCGTTAATTCCCGACATCCTATAAAATGATTGTTATTTACAAAATGTGCGAAATAAAGCACGTTACCATAATGCTGCATTGTTGGAATAATCACTAAATTTTAAGTTAAATATGAGACAAAATTGACTTTTTATACAATGCAATTTAAATTTCAATTCAATTTCAATTTAAATAACTTTCTATAAAGTTGATTAGACATTGATTAATTCATATCCATGTGTAACTGCAAATATGTCGTATATACAGGATATCCGATAATGACCGCATAATCTGTCGTGGGCGAGTAGAACAGATTAAACAGAATCGGAAAATCCTCTATTATCTTATAATTTTTGCAACTTTTTTTAATATTCAATGAATAGGAAATCCAAAATCGACGCATAAGGTAACTTTAAGACAACTTTAAGAGTTCTTTAAGAAACATTTTTAAACGCGTTTATAATGTTAGAAGTAACTATTTGTTATTTTCTTGTTATTTTTTTATATAGAATTTCCCGAAATTCACAAATAAAAATTCACACAGTAACAGAGAGTTTTCCAAATATTAATTAAAAAGGTCATTTGTAAATTTTTACTTTAAGCAACAATTTGTGAAATAATAATGGTTTAAATATGGCCAATAAAAACTGTAGCGTCCGTTCAAATAGTACATTTCGCTAAAACTTGCTGCAAGTTTGATTAAAATTGATGAAGAATAGATAAAATCTTCTCCTTATCAGTTAAGATATATTTAATTTATTAGAAGTTTAATTATCAGAATTCACAGTCGAAATTCCAAGACTGAGATACTTTAAAATATAAAGTATGTCACTATAATAAAAAGATAAATTTTGTTAATCTTTTTGTTACTTCGTTAATTATATACATTTAAAGAATGTCTACACTGAGAGAAAATGTTTGATATTTGTAACTATAATTACATATTACTATAATTATGATTATACTGCGATAATAATAATAACAGTAACTATGTATATCGTTGGCAACCTAAAATGATTATAATTATAGTTATTGTAACTATAAAATAGTTGAAATTACCATAAAAATGATTCAAGTGACTATAATTTTATAGTTATATTTTGGGACAACCATAAAAAATATAATTGTCCCCAAATATAATTATAAAATTATAGTCACTTGAATCATTTTTATGGTAATTTCAATTATTTTATGATTATAATAATAGTCACTTTAGTTGCCAACTATATGCATTTGTTGCTAGAATTATATACATAGTTACTATTGTTATTATTAGCAGTAATAATCACAATTATAATAATATATAATTATTTACAAATACGAAACATTTTTCTCTTAATGTAGAATCAAAAAACAGAAGCAGCTCAATAAAGAGTAGAGCTTTTCTATAACAATATCTTACGCCTATCAATTACCGCATCAGTCTGCGTTCGTTGTTTCGATTTTAGAAAATGCGCTCCGCGGCCGTGTGCATCGCCTTCGTTCTGACATACACAAGCGGGTCGTTTGTCGCGGGTTTGCGATACATCGATCCACAGGCAGGAAGTAACGGTGACATCGGCAACAAACGATTAGACCTGACTGAGCCGTCATGTGACGAGTTGCGTGCCATGTGGAGATATACGAAGAGGCAGATCAGAGCCGCTAAATCCACTAACGGATACCCAATGTACCCATTCAATTCCAATTTATGGCCGCGTACCGCAGTGTTTCCCGATCGCATTAAATTATCCAGAGGATATACGCGAGGTAAGACTCTTTACGTTTTCCAGGAACACGAAGCGTCGACGGAATTTGGTAAAATTTTTCTGAAGATTCGGAATTTCGCCTTTACTGTACATGATATATGAAAAAATAAAAGTAATTTTTTAAACATAAGATGAAAAATTTACAAAGATTTAATAAAATTGGTTGGCTTTTTTTTTGCGCAGATATTGTCGCACCTACACAACTGAAATTACGAGAAGAGTTGGAAGGTAAGCAAATTTTCTGCATAATTTTTCAACTTATATATTATTTAATAAATGTAACATTATAAATTTTATTTTGAGAATAAATACTATTTCTCATCAAATCACTTCGTTAAGGTAGCGAATATTTATCGGACGATTCGATAAGAATACAATTTATCTCTTCACGCTATTGACAGTAACAAAAATTTTTGCACGAATCGATGTATCTTTTTCTCGATATAAATGAATACTGTAATCATCCTGATTCGTAAAATTCGTAACATGAGAGAAAAAACACGTGCGTTTTATCGATTTTATGAATCGATTTCATCGAGTTTTGCATCGTTCACAAGTTGCAATATGAACTTACACAGGCAGATTGTAATACCATCTTGCAAATACATCACACACATATATAGGTCAAGCGCGCCACTTTACTATGTATGCATCGAGCACTTACGTTAACGAGTATACATGGTTCAGGCTAATTATCGGGAGAATGTTGGTTACCTGTAAAGTGCGATAACATCACAAGTTTGAATCGAGCGCTTTGACCGCATCTAAATCCGGTTGCCTGTGCAAAGTGATCGCGCAATTAACGTACATTGCGCTTAAATTATTTAACATCTTCTTTTTGCAATTCTTAATTAAATGAAAATTGGTTAACTCCTTTCACATTCGTGAATTTGAATATCTCAAAAGCAAAGCATTTTTGAGAAAAATGTTTCAAACAAAAATAGACTTCAAAAAGATCTATTTATTGATCACATCCGTTTGACCTTGTCACAAATTCAGGTCAAGATCAAATCGATTTTTTTTAATGGGACACCCTATTTTTTATTTTAGAATAGCTGGTGTCAAGAGTTGTCCAAGAAACTTTTTTTATTCATCACAACACATAATATATGTATATACGAACTCCTTGATCTGAAGTCAGTGGGCATCTATCATGGAACAAGTCGGAATAGATTCCGTTCGAAATTATTCCGTTTTCCCTAGAGAGCACAATAGAAATCTAGATAATTGAACAATTCCGATTGGAATCCATTCTGAATAATTCCAAGTTGATGTCGCCCACGATGTCGAAATACACATAATAGTTCTCGATAACTTTAACCAATTTTAACTCCAATGTTATCCATGTACGATTGTTATTCCGAAAGTATGTGTTGTTAATTTATGATATTTTTAATCGATTTATTCCGAATCAATTTTTTTTCTTGTAGAAATTTATTCTACTCTAATTAATTGATTTAACAAGCTCTCTTTTTCTTTAAAAAAAAAAGAAGTAAAAAGATTCGATTTACCATAGATAATTTTTAATTATATTCATAGAATTTCTTTCAGGAAACATATTTTTTCTTTTCAACAAGATTTGCATTGCAAAAAACTTCACTGAATAAAATTAAAAATGCTTCTATATGTATTTTCGAGCTGAGTTTATGACTAATTCTTTATTTTCATGGCGATATTGATTTTCGCGCAAAGAGAAGGGAATTATTTACATTGTGCAAAATGGTAATTGTAAGAAAAAGAGGATAGATACGCAGAGGAAGTCAAGAATTAATAATTTAAAGGAAGACATGCTGGACGACCGCGTAGTCGGGCCGCCGGAAGTGCACCAATTTATGGAAGGATGGTGCACAAGGCTCCGGCAGGAAGTAGATGGCGAAACGCGATGCGGGGGCCTTCGCGTATGAGGCTCATCGAGGATCTCTCGCGACATTTTGGGACCGTGAGTACGGGACCGTTCAAGCCAAATGTTCAAGAATCTAAATTCCGCGGCGGTACTCCTTCGGTTCCTCAATCCGGCAGATTTGAAACGCTCAAGAATCTCATTCAGGCCGAGAGAGCACGCGAATTACAGGTCAGTCACCAATTCTTTTATTATTAAATGGCTCTTTTAATTAATTTTTTTTAAATAGTCTTTGGACATTTATCAATGTAAAAATTGTATCGTTAATTTATGAATGCAAACTAATTTACTGCAATTTAATTTACTGCACTTCAACCATATTAACATATAACTGTAAAAGTCATAGATTAAAACGGGGCTTTCTCGTTCATGAGACAATTTTGACCAGCGATAATGTTTATGTTTCTAAACGCGCAAATTCAACATTTGAAAGTAATGTTTACTACTTTTAAAAAGGAATCGTGTTCATGAAATGTAAGCACATTACTGCAAAGGAAAATAGTTTATTGCCATAATTGAAGCTTCTGTGACTAAAGTTGAAATTGACGGAACCTATTTATCTGTAGTTTTTAATGATTGAAGTGAATTTATCATGATCAGTTTTTATTTTGAAAGCCTAAGGTCTGTTTCCTGTAGCTGAACTAGTGTATACTTTTGGAATTATTTATGAAATAAAATACATTTATATGTTCGGTGTTTGACGAAAGCGAGAAAGAAAGAAATCTCTCTAGTGCAATCTAGAATAAAAAATAGATCTCTAATTTAGTTATACATATTTCTATACGTATAAATATGTACAGGATGCGGTGCTAGAATCTGGACATGAAAATGTTTTTTTTTTTTTTCGAAAAAGCTTTTTATTTAAATCAATATTCACATACGAAAATGTACTTTTGTACACATATTCAGGGATTCTTTCAAAACCTTCCGACTCAATATAACCCTCCTACACCGCTATTATCTTCTTAATTCGGTCTCTGAATCGTGTGCGCGGCCTTTAATTGCGCGCGGTCTATGGCTGCAAATGCTGTCTTAATAGCGTCCCGGAGGAAAGCCACATTGAGATACCTCGTCTTATTAGTAACCCTTTGTGATCTGAACGGTATTTCCGCACGCGTGTCTATAGTGTATAAAGATCATCTATTCAGAGGTGCCAAAGGATTTACGGGTTAAAGGGTTGGTTTAAGGGTCGCTGTGTCGTGATCCATTGCTAATGCCAACGTTTTGTGAATCTTGCCGTTTATCAGAACAAGGAGTGTTACTGAGTGATACTGAGCTGCTTCTCCGGAGGACTTCTTTTACATAAACTCTGTTAAGAAAAGAAAGGGTGCTTGGGGAGCGACAAGGAAGAGGGGGAAGAACGGTCTCCCATATTTTACTTATGTTAGCCCATGTTCTCTGTTCAAGTTATCTGGATCTATTTTATCAAATAGTCTATTTGATAAAACGACTGCTATAAATACTACGATATCATATTTTCCAAGGAAGTGGAGACTTTAAAGATCCAAAAACATCCAGATAACTTGAATAGAGGCATGGGCTATAACGTAAATATGGCAGACTGCTCTTCCTCCTCTTCCTTCTCTTTCAAACATCCTTTCCTCCTTAACAGAGTTTATATAAAGGGAGTTCTCCGAAGATGTAACTCAGTATCAGTTCGTTCCTCGCTCTATGATGAAGTAAACAGCAAGGTTCACGAAACGTTGGCAATAACAATGGATCATGACGATAATCCGCAAACCTTTTGACACTTCTGAAGAAAACACTCGTGAAAGTCTCAAATATATTATTTAGATTATTTATATATGTTTCAGGAGCAACATATAGCTGAAGAAATAAAAGAGAAAGCCTCTGGTTTTAGAGGCAATAAAGACCTAATAAACGAAGAACAATTATTGAGTAGACAACAATTACGAAAACAATTCTCCAACCCGTTGCCACCCTTAGAAATGACACCAAAAGTCAATTATGATTACAATCAGCGACGTTATAATAATCCTCCTAACATTGGTCAAGCTTGGTCGGTACGTTCTTTTACTTCTACATAAAAATGAGCAAAACAGATTTCTAAGATTCTACTATTGCTTTTTTTAACTTATCTTAAATTTAATGTTTTACCGTAATTTTTATAGTCTCGATTTAATTAAATTTTGTAATAATTTTGATTATAACATATTTATTACAATGTTGAATAATTCTATTTATTATAATTATTTCCTCCAAAATTATTTTCTCCTTCAAATTTTAATATATTTATATGTTTTAGATTGCATAATATTTTATTTCGTGTATTTACGATTTCTATATTTCTTATATCCTTCAAATAAAAATACTGTTATATTTCTTTTTTCGCAGAGGAGCGGCCCTCTCTCACGAGAATATATGTCACCTTAAGGTGCTGCGAATTGCTGTGAGGAAACGGTACAAATTCGAAAAAACTGCCGCATGCATACTGGTGTTTCTGACTGTTTTGCACGACGCAGTTGCAGCCGATTGCAAGTGACAGCGAAGCTGCAAGATAAGTATCGTTACTTTTGCTGCGAACTGCAACAAGAGAAACGACACTCATCTCGAAGATCGCAAGCGTTTTGAAGAATCTGTGGCTTCTGGATCTTTGCGCGAACTTTTGAAAAACCTGTGGCTTCTGGAACTTTTAAATCTTTATGTCAATAGTAAGTGGAAATCAAAAATTTTAATCTAATATTGGTCAATGCCGAAAAACCCTTTTAACATATATGGCGAAAAGAACAGTCTTCTTCCGCATCGAAAGTTTTAATCTTAAATAAATTTCAGAAAAAAAGGAATATATATATATATATATATATGTATATATATATATATACATATATATAAGACCGGCCACATGTTCAAATAAATTTGTCAAGTATACTTGTACAAATCACTTGTGCAAGTTTACTTAAATGTATGTGGTCAGCCAAAGAAATGGATTGAATGGCACCTCTATTGAGTTCAAAGCTCCAAAAAGCTATACTTTTTGAATGCACCGTAATATCGCCTGCATATCCTTGATACGAATAGAATTAAAATGCAAAATTTAATATCAAATGAAATCAATTTGCATACCAGGCGGATTTCATTGATAATGTGCATGCGTTTTTTTTTGGTATATTTGTGCAGTTTCGCAACGACATTAAAACGAGTAAGACATGAAACGGCACATTTTCATGGATTTTAAAATGTTTCGCGTTTTTTAAATTTGTATAAAGCAGAAAAAGATGAATATGTTACAATAGGTTTTTTAAATTTACACACAATAATTATTTGATTCTGAAATAAGCTTAGAAAAAATAAACTTTCTTTTCGCAATATCTTTAAAGATAACAGCACAATAATTTTAGATATGATATAAGATCTAAAATTACAATTTTTCTCTCTTTCTCTTTCTGTCTCTTCTTTCTGCTCTCTTTCTTGAAATTCAACTTGTATATGTTAAAGAGGATAAAAATCTATTCAATCATTTGATATAAAATATCTAAATACGTTTAAGTTTATAGAAAGAAAACCGTTCAACTTGTCTGTCTTACAAAAAAAAAATAGTAACGTTTCGCAATTTATTTGAAATATCAAATCGGATTTCTAAAAAATGTCATGGATACCAGAAAATCACTAGTGAAGTACATTGCGAAAAAAAATTCAAAATATAAATGTAATTCAATACGCAGTTGCATAGACTGAATCACATTTACAGATTGCAAATGCAGAATTTTAATACTATTCCGAAAAACCGAACTTATAAATCATCAGACATTTGATGTTATTAAGTGAAAATCATGCACGTGATTAAAACTTATGGGCTATTACATATTTGAATTTGTTAATATCATTTCTTATAAATTACACACTTACTATTTAAATAATTTGCACATAATTTGCAAATATAGAGTAAAATCATATATTTTATCAATTTTGATTGTTCTAGTTTAATTTTGTAGAATATATATTTTATATTTTTATTAGTTTATTATTGACCAATAGAAATATATTATTTGTATTCAATATTCAATTTAAATTTGACAAAATATTCTCGGGGATGTTTGTATATGAATATTTGCAACTGTGCGAAATAAAATGTCGCATTCCCGCTTCTTCCTAAATATACATGTAAGAACAATACTTGGACAATAAATTAGTAAGACTTATATCTAACAGATTTTGACATTGTACATTAACTTACAATGTAAGAAACTTTAATTATTCTTCGATGATCCAGCAAGAAGTTATTGTGCTGATGTATATAAACGAAAGACAATAATTATTCTTAAGGAAAGGTTTGTGCATATAATACTTCTGTGTTCTTAATACAAATATATAACTATAAATTGTGGTAAAAAAAGAAAAAAACAAAAAAAAAATTATTTCTGATATCTCATAAAACGAAATTACAGACAGAAGCTTTTTGTGAATACAATTGATGCTAGTGGTACGTGCAAGCAATTAACCCTTAAATGTTTTAATGTTCACAAGCATAATGCATGTAAGAACATAATAATGGTAACGTAAATTTATTACACGTCTTTCAATATTTTACATATAAAATACAAAATATTTATTAAATTTAAAATTTTGCCATTTCTAGGCAATACTGTAATAACACAACATTGTAATAATGAATTTTGGTCAAACAATTAAGGGTTAAAGAATGCATCTTAATGACAATAAATATAAAAGTCTCTTGTAATCCTATAAAAATATTGAAATTGTATAGGACGATTATAATTCTTGAATGTGGCTTATTCCGTAGCTGAAGAAATAATCACTTTCAGCTTTTGTAGTTATAAAAGACACAAATGCGAAAAACTGGATATAATTATTATACGTATAATTTGATATTTAAATAACGGTTCTGTGTGTATGACTTCTGATTGGGGAAACTTTATATTTGTATATTTGAATACCACATATTGTATATTTGAATACTACATATCTACATTACCCCCGAAAATTTTCCGGACATGATAACGAAATTTTATATTTGAAGTTTGAAGTCGTTTACCATAATACTGATTGTAAATTAAATTAAAGATAATTTTATTATATTGCAGAACAAATATATAATTTATAAATTATTATTTTTTAAATATAATCAAATATTTACGCACATATATCTACTTTTTACTTAAATCTATCTCGTCTACGCGTGATACAGATTACTAAAGCCATCTATTGGAAAAATAATGGATTTCTTTTTACTACACCTAATATTTAAAATAACGAAAAAACGGCAATGTCCGGAATCTTTCCGGGAATAATGTATGTGCACATATATTATTATCTACACACATGAACACAAATGCGCAAACATATCATATAATAGATACCCCTCTTTGACTTTCACTTTCTCTTAAAATTTTTGATGAATTTTAATAAACATTAATCAACATAAAATGTTAGCACTTTTATTGTTTATAACATATTAAGATGTTATGTGTGAATATTTATAGTTATATTCATTATCGTGGTTGTAATAGACGTATATACAGATGTAATTTATATTTTGTTATATTTCTTAACAGAAATTTCATTATGTTACTGTTATCAGTTCGAGTAACAAAGCGTGTAAGTTGTTACTGCGACTACTGCAAGAGATTAAAATGCTTCTAAAAATAAAATCTCATTAACATTGTTAAATACATATATATTATTATGAAATGATTATTCTATTTCTTATAAAAACTTTTAAAACAGTTGTCAAAATACAAAGTAACATATACATATAATATTTTTGCAAAAAGGTATCCTCTTTTAATTCTGCTATTTTATTTTCCGATTCGGCAAAACGAAGATCTATCATAGATTTATCTTTGATATAATATTTTATGTATATTATACGTATAACTAATATAGTTAGACCAACTATTAAATGAATTAATTTCCACACATTATTGCTTTCAAACAAAATCTTTAGAACTAAAAGTTATACATATGAGGGACACATCAAAGTAAGTTTCTCTACCATAGAAAAATAAAATGAAAGATAGGACAATTATAAAACTTTTTTATTTTATTAACTTGATCTTTAAGTTATTTCTCAACGTTATTGCTATTGATATTTAAATACTTATAACATGACACCAGTTTTTCTATATCAGTATTTAAAAAACTTATCCTTGAATCGGAGCGACTTCAGCCTTGATTTATTTATTGTCGTAAAAATTTTTGCTATCCAAATGTTTCTTAAGCAGGAAATAGATGAAAATTATTCGTGCAAGATCTAGACAATATGATGAATGACATCAAAAATTTGACGTTAATGTGCGCGACCTATCACTTCAAAGCTCATCATGAATTTCTGTGCGACCATTAAGAAACTCTAATCGTCATCGTCGAACTGTTTGCACTGATATTTTTTTCTATATATAGAAATTTTCTACATATAGAAATTATTTGACAATGAATATTTATTGCATTTTTGTTTTATACAAAAATACTAAATTATCGTGTAATTCGTAGTCGGACACATTTTGTATTAGCGCCTTCATGATTTGAATTTGCTCAGTTAACAATGGTTGTAATGAATACGATTCTGAGTGCAAAAATGTTACCAACACACTTCAAAGAAAAAAATCTTCCAATACACAAGCTATTCGTATAACCGGTTTTTTTCCTATGATATAGAAACTTATTTTGAGATTCTCCTCATATTTTTTCATGTTATGTAAATTATTACGACTAAAATATTTCTATTTTTGTTATATACCATAAACAATTTAACTCATTTTTTATTTAACTGTACGAATGTCACGATTATTAAATAAATTACAAATTAATCAATTGACAAACATGTGAGCTTTTAGCTTTCTTGTCGATCGACTGTTCGTCGTAAGAAAGACTTCACACAAGAAAGATTTTTTCATAAATAAGGCTGTTACTTACAATATTATAGATTATTTTAAAATACTGTCGTTAAGGCTGAGGTTCTTAATTGAGACCCAGTGCCTAATATTACAAACTAGAGACTGGTCGAACAATCTTGAGATTAAGATTCAAGTAAGCTGCAAACATTATTAAAGACTAAAGATATTAAACGTATTTATACAAATGTGAGAGATTTAAAATAATTATCAGTATATATCGAATTATCTTCCTTCTATAAGGAAGAGAAAAATTGTTGTATAATGTTATCAAACGTATAATTATCACATTTATCTATTACTATTGTTACTACACATAACTTCTCTAATAACAGATATTAATAATCTATTAGTAGTATTTCATTAAAAAAAACAGTATTAAAGGTATATATAAAAACGTATGCAGCTGCTCGAATACTTTCTCTCTAAACTCATAAAACCTCATGGTGTGCTTACCTATATTTTATTAGATAGTAAACTTGCCAAATATATAAATCGACAATAAATCGTAAGTGATATTTTAAAACAGGAGAGAGAAAGATAACTTTAAATGCGTTGTATTCTGTAATAAAAATGAAAGACTTACATATTGTTTAAGATATATAAGTGTATCACTCCTACACACACGCCCACGAACACTCACACATATGTATGTATATGCATGTATGATGTGTACACATCACATATGTGGGGTGTTTGATAAGTCAGTGACTTTAATAAGAAAAAATGCATTTAGATTGTAAATTTAATGTTATTTTTTACATTTGCCATTCTTTCTAGACATTAAATTTCAAATAGAGATCTATCAAATAGCAAATTTTTAGTAAGAAACAGCGCTCACATCGCATTTGCTACAACGGAAAAAAAAACAAACTTATCTGCTTTGAAACGCTATTAAAAATTAATTATTTGATTTACTTGAA